CAGAGCCACCAGGCACCCCAAAAAATGGCATTTTAAATTGATTGGTTATGTATAGACTATTTAGTAGATGGTGTGGGACCACTGGCTTACTGTATAGAGAAAAATAAAATAGAGTCCCTTATATAACACTGTTTAGAAAGAAAGACCTCAGATGGGGTGCCTGGGTGGCTCGGACTGTTAAGTCTCTGCCTTCAGTTCAGGTCATGGTCCTGCGGTCCTGGGATCGAGTCCTGAGTCGCGTTCCTGGCTCGGCAGGGGGCCTGCTTCTCCCTCTCCCTCTGTTGCTCCCCCTGCTTGTGCTCTCTCTCTCTCTCTCTGTCAAATAAATAAATAGATAGATAAATACATACATACATCAGATGGATTAATGGCCAAAATAATATAGATCAAACTATACATGTGTGTGTGTAAGCTACGTATATAGGTAACCTATATATATAGATAACTATAGATAGATATAAAACTATATATAGATAACTATATATAGACAAAACTATAGTTAATAAAACAATTTGTAATTTAGTATTAAGAAAGTAATTCTCTTTTTTAAGATTTTATTTATTTATTTGAGAGAAAGTGAGAGGCGGAATGAGCAGAGAGGGAGGGGTGGAGGTAGAGGGACAAGCAGACTCCCCACTGAGCAGGGAGCCTGACATAAGGCTCAAAAACATGAAACCATAAGGTGAAAAATGATTCACTTGATGATTCTCTATTAAGGATTTCATCTCAATAAATACATAGATATTGTTAACAGGCAGAAAACATTTGGAAGATATTTGCAATAACTAAACCTATTAATGAATTAATATTGGACTATCAGGCTATCAAAGAAACTCCTTCAATTCAACAAAGAAGACTGGGGTCCCAATAGAAAAATGAGCAAAACAGGAATTAACAAAAGAACAGTACATGAAGGAATGCTCGAATTCATTAGTAATAGGAGACATCCCAATTAAAATAACATTTTAGTTTTACATGCTAGGCTAGCAAAAAATAGAAAGCAGAGCTACATAATAACAAATCTTGTCTGGGATATGGGGAAATAGGATCTCCAGGAATGTAGATCATATATCCACTCTGGAGAACAGTTTGGCAGTTCTTCATAATTTAGTTGATAAAATTCATTTGGGCCTAACGGTTTTGTTCCTGGGTATATAACCAGAGATTAATTTTCACACAAGTCCATAAAGGGATATAGTAAGAGATACTGCAATGCACCATTGTTTTTGGTGGCTGGCAGTTGAAGTCTGGATTGTTGGGTGAATGGATAGACAGCATATGGACTACTTTGCATTAGTGAGAAACAGTGAACTAAGTGTCCCACAGCAATATGAATACATTTTAAAAACCTAGTGCCAGAGGATAAAGGTGGGAATATAAGCAAACAGAAGGATGTTCATCAAACACTTAGAAGAGATAACTTACTGGAAAGAAGAAAGGAATTTAGGAAATGGAGGTAGAAGGAAAGAAAGAGAGGTCTCCTACAGATGAATGATGAAAATAAGCCATGAATCCAGGAGTATGGTTAACTTAACCTTTTTTATCTGGGACATAAAAGTGGGGTTCGGGCATTCATTTGGCAGTGATATATAAGTTGGGTTGGAGAAGAAAAAATTAAAGGCATAAAAAACAAGAGACTTAAAATTTAATCTAGGTACTGGAACATGACGTTATAATTTAGGATCGTGGTAATTGGGAATGAAAAGTAAAGGACTGATGTGAGAAATACTGCAGAGAGGTGAGGTCAGCAACTAATTGGATGAAGAGATGAGCCAGGTTTTGAATCTGGGTAAATGGGGAGAGGGAGGTCCCAATAAAGAGGAGCAGTGAATAGGATAACTAGATAACATGGGGGAGATATGTTGAATTCCGCTTTTAGATTCCATTGGAGGTTCTAGCGGTTGAGGTAAATTGTCCACTGTTAGAACATTCATGAAGAATATACTGTAGGGGCACCTGGTTAGCTCAGTGGGTTAAGCCTCTGCCTTCAGCTCAGGTCTTGATCTCGGGGTTCTGGGATCAACCCCTGCGTCCAGCTCTCTTCTCCGTGGGGAGCCTGCTTCCCCCTATCTCTCCGCCTGCCTTTCTGCCTACTTGTGATCTCTCTCTCTGTCAAATAAATAAATAAAATCTTTAAGAAAAAAGAATATGCTGTACTAGATATTGAAACAGAACATTTTTTTTTCCCTAAGTTGTTTTAGCACAGCTATTTTAACTCCTCCAACCATCTTGATTCTTAGAGTGGTTTGACTGGGCTGCCAGGATTTAGTAAGCTTAAAGTTATACTAATTTATTGTTGAGGAAAAATGACAAAATAGCCAAAACATATTGACAAATTAGATCTGTAAAGTTTCACCTAAGAAACTGGACTTGATGATAATGCCTGCAGAAGAAAATGGTAAATGGCAGAAAATTCTGAAATTTTTTTGGACGTAAAAATGGATCAGTGAGGGGCGCCTGTGGCTCAGTGGGTTAAAGCCTCTGCCTTCGACTCAGGTCATGCTCCCAGGGTCCTGGGATCCAGCCCCACATCGGGCTCTCTGCCCGACAGGGAGCCTGCTTCCTCCTCTCTCTCTGCCTGCTTCTCTGCCTGCTTGTGATCTCCATCTGTCAAATAAATAAATAAAATCTTTAAAAAAAAAAATGGATCAGTGAGTTGAATCTTTTTTGTAAAATTTACTCTAGAAGAGGTTTGATCTTGATTTAAATAGTTTCAGCAAAGTGAAATTGAAAAGAGGAAAATAGAAATTTTGAGCATGTAGGAAATTGCTCTAGGTATTAAGTCAGCTCAATTATTTTGTATCAGAGAATGCCTTTTTCTCTCCTACCTACCCATAGGCTAGAATTAAATCTTTTTTCCCCATTCTTTTAAATGTATTGCAAATTATATCAGTAATATATAAGTATACTCTCATCATAACATATTTAGATTATTCAGACAAAATAAAAAATCGTTTTTCACTTCCCTTACCAGAGATAACCATTGTATCTGTTTGGTACATATCCTTCTAGGTAACTTTCCACTGCTTTTACAAGTAATATATGTACAAAAACAAATGTTGATTTGTGGATATTTTATATCATTCTCATTATAGTCCAATTTTTTTTTAAGATTTTATTTATTTTCAGACAGAGATCACAAGTAGGCAGACAGGCAGGCAGAGAGAGAGAGGAGGAAGCAGGCTCCCTGATGAGCAGAGAGCCCGATGTGGGACTCGATCCGAGGACCCTGGGATCACGACCTGAGCTGAAGGCAGAGGCTTTAACCCACTGAGCCACCTAGGCGCCCTATAGTCTAATTTTTTAATGTAAAAGTCTTGAGTATCTTTCCACGTAAGTATATATAGTATAAAAATGTTTGTTGGGGGCACCTGAGTGGCTCAGTGTGTTAAAGCCTCTGCCTTTGGCTCAGGTCATGATCTCAGGGTCCTGGGATCGAGCCCTGCATCAGGCTCTCTGCTCAGCGGGGAGCCTGCTTACCCCTCTCTCTCTGCCTGCCTCTCTGCCTACCTGTGATCTCTGTCAAATAAATAAATAAAATCTTTAAAAAATAAATTAATTAAAATGTTTGTTGGATGAAAATAGTTTCTGAATATTCTACTTGCTAGATAATATTGTGAGGGTGGGGAGAGAGGTTGAAAAGGATTGAGGGGGGTACCAGGGTGTTTATTGTTCTCAAGAATCTCACAGTCTAATTTATGCAAAGAAGACATACAGATGACCAACAGACACATGAAAAAGTGCTCCATATCACTCAGCATCAGGGAAATACAAATCAAAACCACAAGGAGGTAACACCTCATACCAGTCAGAATGGCTAAAATTAACAAGTCAGGAAACGATAGATGCTGGCGAGGATGCAGAGAAAGGGGAGCCCTCCTACACTCTTGATGGGAATGCCTGGTGCAGCCACTCTGGAAAACAGCATGGAGGTTCCTCAAAAAGTTGAAAATAGAGCCACCCTTTCACCCAGCAATCATACTACTGGGCATTTACCCTAACAGTACAAATGTAGTGATCTGAAGGGGCACGTGCACCCAAATGCTTATAGCAGCAATGTCCACAATAGCCCAACTATGGAAAAAGCCTAGATGTACATCAACAGATGAATGGATAAAGAAGATGTGGTATATATATATACAGTGGAATACTATGCAACCATCAAAAGAAATGAAATCTTGCCATTTGCAACGACATGGATGGAACTAGAGGGTATTATGCTGAATGAAATAAATCAGAGAAAAACAATTATATGATCTCCCTGATATGAGGAATTTGAGAGGCAGAGTGGGGGGCTTGAGGGGTAGGGAAGGAAAAAAATGAAACAAGATGGGATCAGGAGGGGGACAGATCATAAGAGACTCTTAATCTCACAAAACAAACTGAGGGGGAGGAGGGGTATGGAGAGGGTGGTTGGGTTATGGACATTAGAGAGGGTATGTGCTATGGTGAGTGCTATGAAGTGTGTAACCCTGATGATTCACAGACCTTGTACCCCTGGGGCAAATAATACATTATATGTTAATAAAAATAATTAATAAAAAAAAAGAATCTCACAGTCTAGTAGAAGTGAAGTATACAATAAGTATAATACAGTGGAGTAAATGTTCTAATAGATACATGTACTAGGTGGTATTTGGACCCAGCGTGAAGAGCATCACACTGTTTGATAGAGAAGTGCATGTGTCAGGTAGTACTCAGAGATGGTAAGAGGAATTGAGGATCATTTTCTGAGAATAATATTTTGCAGGTTTACTGAGGCCTAGAATGATTAAGTAATTCACTGGATTCGTTCTTTTCTGTCTTTTGTGAAATTCTTATCCCTTGCCAGAAATCAGTCTTTCTGGTATCCTAAGGTATGGTCGTGAAAGCAGTATCTTTATCAGTATGATTGTCTTTTAGAATTTTGACATCTTTAAATAGTACAAGAATTACTTTATTTTGTATTTTGTATTTCATCATGGAGAGGATTATGTGAATATATTTTTTCCCCTTTTTAGGGAGGTGGTTGACTCAATGGTTCAGCATTTTAAAGTGACTATATTTGGGGACCGTAGACCAGTTTATGATGGAAAAAGAAGCCTTTACACAGCCAATCCACTTCCTGTGGCAACTACTGGGGTAAGGTGTATTCCTTTATTGAAGAGCTATTCTTTGCAGTATCTCCTTTTATTTTTTATTTTTATTTATTTTATTTTTTTGAGAGAGAGATTGGGTTGGGAGGAGGGGGCATAGGGACAGGGAGGCAATCTCAAGCAGGCTCCATGTCTGTCATGGAGCCTGACATGGGCTCAGTCCTACGACCCTGAGATCATGACTCAAGCTTAAACCAGGAGTCGGACCTCAATCAACTGAGCCACCCAAGCACCTAGCAATATCTCCCTTTAAATGCATTTATTACCATTTTATTATAGTCTATATATATGAGCATATTATTTATCTTTTTTAACTTTTTATTTTGAAATAATTTTATTTATATTTTTCTAGGTTTTTTTTTAACTACGCTTTTTTTTTTAAGATTTTATTTATTTATTTGACAGACAGAGATCACAAGTAGTCAAGAGAGGCAGACAGGGGGAGAGAGGAGGAAGCAGGCTCTCCACGGAGCAGAGAGCCCGTCGTGGGGCTCAATCCCAGGACCCTGGGATCATGACCTAAGCCGAAAGCAGAGGCTTTAACCCACTGAGCCACCCAGGCGCCCCTCTAGATTTTTTTTTTTTTTAAGATTTTATTTATTTATTTGAGAGAGAGAGAGCAGAGGGTGGGGCAAAGGGAGAGGAAGAGGGATTAGCAGACTTCCTGCTCAGCAGGGACCCCTATGTAAGGCTCCATCCCAGGACTCTGGGATCATGACTTGAGCCGAAGGCAGACACTTAACGGACTTAGCCACCCAGAAGCCTCTTGAAATCATTTTAAACATACTGAAAAGTTGTAAGAATTAAAGAACTCATGTAGACCTTTTACCCAGATTGTCCAGTGTTCCTTAACTTTTACCACATTTGTCTTATCATTCTTTCTTTCTTTTGTTATCTTTGTAGATATTTATATAGGGTGAAATACACATCCATGCTTATCTTTTCCTGAACCATTCAAGAGAAGGTTGCATGTGTCATGCCCTTTAATATGTTTTTCTTAAGAACAAGGATAAAAATCAAAGTATGGTTATCCATTCCACTAAATTCTTCATTGGTATACTTTTATCTAATCAACAACCCATATTCCAGTTTTGTCATATGTTCCACTGATGACTTTTAACATTTCTTCCCCTCTAATAAAAAATTCAGTCCAGGTTCATGATTGTATTTAGATACCACATTTTGTTTGTTTGTTTGTTTGTTTGTTTGTTTTAAAGATTATTTATTTGAAAGAAAGCAAGCGCATGAACGGAGGTGGGGGCAGAGGGAGAGGGAGAGATTCTCAAGCAGATCCCCATTTGAGAACAGAGCCCAACGCGCTCAGTTCACAAATCTGAGATCATGACCTGAGCCGAAATCAACAGTCAGATGCTTAATCTGCTGAGCCACCCAGTTGCCCCAAGATACCACGTCTTTTTAGTCTTCTTTATTCTGGAACAGCTTCCCAGCTTTTTTCTTTCCTTTCATGACATTAACATGGTAGAAGATTACAGGCAAGTTGTTTGTAGAATGTCCCTCAATATGGGTTTGTCTGATTTTCTCTTGATTAGACTCTGATTAAACATTTTTGGCAGAAATAATTACACAAGTGTTCTTTCCTTATCAGTGGATCTTATCAGGAGACATTAATATGTATTTGTTCTATTAATGGTGATACTAAGTTTGATCACTTAGTTAAGCTGGTGTCTGCCAGGTTTCTCCTGTCAAGTTTTTCTTTTTCTCTTGTGGGGAGATTTTATTTTTAACTGTGGTAAAATAAACATAACATAAAATTTACCATCTGAGCCATTTTTAATGTACATTTTAGGGGCATGAATGTACATTCAATGAACATTTGCAATCATAACCACTCTCTATCTCTGTAACTCTATTTATCTTGTAAAACTGAAACTGTACCCATGAAATACTTAAATCCCCATTCTCCCCTCCCCTCAGTGCCTGGCAGCCACCGTTCTATCTTTTGTCTCTATGGCTTTGACTACTCTCAGTGCGTCATCTAAGTGGAATCATACGGTATTTGTGTTTTTGTGACTTATGTCACTTAGCTTTATGTCCTCAGAATTCGTCCATGTTGTTGCATGTGTCAGAATTTCCTTCTTTTTAAGGCTGAATAATACTCCATTGTATGTATATACCATATTTTGTTTATCCACATATCCATTGATGAACACCTTTTGGGTATTACAAAAATGCTGCTGGGAATGGATACAAATACCTGTTTCAATTCTTGCTTTCAGTTCCTTTGTGTATAAGGGGTAATTTCTATTTTTAACATTTTGAGAAATCACCATACTGTTTTCCATAGTGGCTGCCCCATTGTACTTTCACACCAGCAATGCACAAGCATTCCAAATTCTTCACACCCTTGCCAACACTTGCTGTTTTCTGGGTGGTTGTTGTTATTATAACCATCCTAATGGGTATGAGATTATATCTCACTGTGGTTTTGATTTGCATTTCCCTAATGATTAGTGAGTTCAGCATCTTTTCTTGAGCTCATTTGCATATCTTCATCCTTTGCCCGTTTTTAAAATTGGAATTAATTTTTGCTGTTAAGTTTTAGGGATTCTTCATACTTTCTTAACAGATATAGGATTTGCAAGTATTTTCTCACATTTTTTAGGTTGCCTTTTCACTTTGTTGATTCTGTCTTCTGATGCACAGAAGTGTTTTTGGTTTTGTTTTTCGTTGTTGTTTTTTGAGTAGACTCCACACCCAGGGTGTGGCCCAACATGGGGCTTGAACTCAAGACGCTGACTGATATCACGACCTGTGCTGAGGTTACTTAAGAACCGGATGCTTAACCTACTGAGCCACCTAGGAGCCCCTAAGAAGTTTTTAATTTTTATATGGGAAATACTTTTTTTTTAAGATTTTAAAAATTTGTTTATTTTAGAGAGAGAATATGAGCCAGGGCGGGGATGGGGACAGAGGGAGAGAGAAAATCTCAGGCAGACTCCCTGCTGAGCAGGGCATACATGCAGGCTTGATCTCATGACCTTGAGATCATGACCTGAGCCGAGATGGAGAGTTGGTCACTTAACCGAATGAGTCACCCAGTCACCCAGATGTGGGAGATACTTTAAGGATCCTGTTTCTCATTAGATTTTTAAGTAATTGATGATTCTTGCTTGGAAGAATTATTAGTAAGTAGTAACGTTGACTTTCTAGTTCTGTCATTCCTTCTACATTTATTAGTTGATATTGACTATAACGGAGAGCATTTTCTTTTCCCTAATTTATTTGTCTTTATTTATTTCACTGCCCCATTTGGCCATTGGGAGCCCCTTTAAGATGATTCCTGTTTCCTTTTTGATCACACACTTTCTTTTGCGTACTTCCTTACTTTCTGACACAAGATGATCCAGGCTTTTCTTATGTTTTCCCTGCTGTGGCCATGCAACTGGCCCTTTCTCAGAGAAACAATGGTTTCTTTTAGTTGGGGGATGCAACTTACAAACCAAAATCTGGGTATGTATTCATGCTGTTGGGTTATAGGTGTTTCTAAAATGGACGGAGGTAGGAAATAAAAATATATAAGTGAAAGAAATAATATATAATACTATATGTCATGTAGTGAACCTGCCATAAGTATCCTATACAAGTACTACTTATTGTATAATATTATATATATAATATATAAATATAACAAATAGATTAATAAATATATATATGAAGTCATGAGTTGAAACTGATTCTCTAAGTTTCAGTTTATCCCCCCAGAATTCCTCCTTTACTCCCCACATTGCATATTTGTATCTTCTTTTTTGAACCATAGAATATCACTGCCTTTACACATTTGTTCATTCCTACCATACAATTATAAAATTGTTTCAGAATTGCTACACCATACCACCCACCTCTCCTCCACATCCCCAGTTGAGAATATATTCAGTATACTGCGTTCAAGAGTTCCTTGCATTAATATTTTCTTTTGTCTCCTTCTTACAGTATGGTTAGGTTATTCATTTGAAACATTCGGTTCTATTTAATTTTTGTTATATTTTAATTTTTTCACTTCATCCTTCTTGATTTTATTTTTAATTTTTTTAACTGATAAAACTTTATTTAATAAAAATTTATTTAACATGGTTCCAGAAATCAAAACTATGCTGAAAAATATACTCGGAATTGTTATTCTCCTTTATTTCTTCCCATCCTTTGAAAGTACCAGTTTCTTTGTTTCCGGTTCATGCTTCTTATGTTTCTTTTTGCAGAAATGAGATACATGTATATTTCCCATTTTCTTCTTTTTCACCAAAAGATGGCATACTATTTGTAATCTTGTGTACTTTGCTTTTTTTTTTTTTTTTTTTTGCGTAACAGTACAACTTAGAGATTATTGATTTAGCATTGAGGTTGGCTTTTTATTTTTGCTCTGTTTTTTCTTAAATATCTTTTTAACTTAAAAGTAATTGTTCTTATCTTTTTCAACTTATCAGTTGATTGTTTCCGCATCAACAGGTAGATTTAGATGTTACTTTACCTGGGGAAGGTGGAAAAGATCGACCTTTCAAGGTGTCAATTAAATTTGTCTCTCGGGTGAGTTGGCACCTACTACATGAAGTACTGACAGGACGGACCTTGCCTGAGCCACTGGAATTAGACAAGCCAATCAGCACTAATCCTGTCCATGCCGTTGATGTGGTGCTACGACATCTGCCCTCCATGAAGTGGGTGCTTCTGGCTTTTTCTCCTTTTTAGATTTTCAGTGTGAAGGCTTTCTTCCCAAGAGCGGGTTGTGCAGCCCTTCTTTGATTAACCTTCACGGGTTATATGTTTTGATTACTTCATTTAAAGAATAGCATGCATACAAGTTCATTGACAACAGAAGTATGTTACAGAAAAAATTCTGATTTTTGAAAGTGAATGCACATCATTAACATAGCTATGCTAGTGGATACCTTTTAGAAAAATGTCTAACCTTTATCTTAGAAGCTATAAATCTTGAATAACTGACATGTTTAGTTAAGTCCCCTTATTCTAAAGATAATTTCATTATTTATACAATAATATCAATTTGTGTTGAAATTGCTACACTCTTAATCACACTGTCACTTTACAAGTGTATGTTTGTATTTATGTGCCTATATATGTAGGATCGATGTGTCTTTTTAAAGAAAAATAGGTTTTGGAAACACATTTATAGAAATAGCCTTTTGATCAATATTTATTTACTCTTTAGCATTTCCTAAGTTTGGAACTGGTTTTTCTTTTCACATGTTTCTAAGAAAGTATTTTAAATAAAATTTATTCTTACCCAAACTAACATTAGTTTTGGAAGGGAGAATTTCAGTAAAGGATGCTGATGGTTTTTGTTTTGTTTTTGTTTTTCATTTAGAAAAATTTTTGCTTTTTGCTTTTGTTTTTGTTTTTGTTTTTCATTTAGAAAAACTTTTTGCTTTTTGCTTTCACAAATTTGGAAAACATTTAGTTTCATATATTCCTAATGATAAACATCGTTAGGATAATTTAAGTTTATGTACTCTAGACTAATGTATTCTGCAAATTTATATACCTATATGGCAGTGAAAGGACTGAACATGACATTTTAATTTTTGTAGATATACGCCTGTGGGGCGTTCCTTTTTCTCAGCTCCAGAAGGATATGACCACCCCCTCGGAGGCGGCAGGGAAGTATGGTTTGGATTCCATCAATCTGTCCGACCTGCCATGTGGAAAATGATGCTTAATATTGATGGTAAGGGAACTAAAACCACATTCTGTCTTGGGTAGTTGAATCCTGTCTATGCGTTCTGTGTGTGCAGTTTATATATAATTATATGTACTGGTGTCTTGGGAGTAGTATTTGGATACATACTAAGAGTCGAAAAACCTTTGTATTTTTATTATGTTTTGTTTAGAAAGCTTTTACACAGAAGTTGTCCTGGAATGCTACTAAGCATGAAGTAAGCACATTAAAGCATGTACAAAAGCCTTGACATGATTATCTGAACAGTCTCACTTTTGTCCTTTTAACTCTTAAGTCAGTATTTCATTATGAAATTCATGTTTTAAAAGAAAAATAGTCTGTTGGTCATGGTGAGCCCAGGTGTTATACCTACCACTGATGCTTATAGTGGTGCTAATTGTACTCTCATTTTTAGCTCATAAATATTTTTGAGTAAATATAAAAGTAGGGGGAATAGTGTGATAAACTGCCACTTATGTGCTGCCTGTCAAGAATTTTCCACCTTCCTTAAACTTCCTACATTTACTCTTCTAAATCAGATCCCAGATAACAAGTTATTTTGTCTCTACTACTTTAGTATGTGCCTCTTAAAAAATGGGTTTTCTTACATAGTCATAATGCCATTATCTTATAGAAGAAAATTTAATAATCATTTATTTGTAGCCTCTAATTCCCTGTCTGTAATCAGATGTCCTTGATTATCTCAGAAATGTCCTTTTATAGTTAGGTGGTTCTAATCAGGTTCCAAACAAGATCCACCTATCATGTTTAGCTGATATGCCTTTTTTAATGTAGTAGTCCCATTTCCTTCCTCTTGTTTTGTTTTGATTTGTTTTAAATGCCATTGACTTGTTAAGGAAGCTCTGTCACACTTGTTCTGAAGAATATCCAAAAATCCACATTTGTCTTTTGTTCTTGTGGTGTCATTATCTTATTCCACTGTCCCCTATATTTCCTGAAAGTGAAAGCTGGCCCTAGAAGTTTGGTTCGATTCTGGTTTGGAATACTTCATATGTGCTTCATATTGTATATTAGGAGACACACAGTATCTAGAGGTTCCATTTTTAGTGATACTAAATCAGTAGGCCTGATCTCTCCATTGTAAATCTCCTAGTCAACATTTCTATTACTAATATTCCATTCAGTAATCATCGTTACGCAGATCATCTGTTTCACTAGTGATTACCAAACGGTATTTTCCCTAATTCTGTATTTGTTGTCTTTGATAGTATTTTTGCTTTCTAGCACAGGAGGAAATTTCAGGCTCATCTTGTATTTCCTGCTCTATATGTGGAATCAGCCATTCCTTCAAGGATCCCTAGATCTTTCCAGATCACTCCCTAGTTTCTGCATTATTTTCAGTTGCTTCTGCCATTGTGGGAATATGTCACTGAGGAGCTGTATCTCAGAAGTCCTCTTTCAATGTACAGGAGGGGTGTTTAGTTTGCCATTTCAGAACATTGTTTCCTGTATATGTAGATACATTTTTAAGATAGATTTCAAGAGGGAAGATTAGTAGGTCAAGGGCAAATGTATTTGTAATTTTGATCATTATTGTCAGATTGTCCTCTCTAGAGGTTCTAAGTATTGTGCATCAGTGAGTGAGACTACCTGTTTTGTTGCCTCTAGAAATGTGAAACTCTAGATTCTATTAATTGGATTTGCAAGAAATCATTTCCTCATGTACTTTTGCATTTGGCCATCTTTTCACATGTGTAAGGTTCACCTTATTTCTTTTTTTTTAATTAGCTGTTTCTGTCTTTTGCCCTTTTTTTCTGTTGGATTTTCAGTTTTCTCATTTATTGAGAGCTTTCTGAATTAAGGATATTGGCCCCTTGTATTGTGAATTGTGTTTATCCTTGATTATTTGTCTTTTAACCTGTAGTATGGTCTTGTTTTTGTATTTTGCCATGTAGAAATTTGTGTCTTTGGGGTTTGGGGGATAGTAAATACATATACACAGACACTTAAATGTAGTAGTCAGTTGTTTCTTTAATGGCTTATAGTATTTTATAAGGCTAGTCTCAAATTTCTCTTCGGCTTTTCTAGTCTATTCTTAATTATTTTACCATGTAAGCTGTAGAAACACCAGTGGGTGTGGAAGAATGGGCTGTTATTTTTATTAAAATCTCATTACATTTATAAATTGTTAGGACAAATTGGCATCTTTAAGATTCTAAGTCTTTCTGTCCAAGAAAACACTGTACCTTTTTATTGGTGCAAGATTACTTTTGTTTCTTTCAGGGGTATTTCAAAGTTTTCCTGATGTAAAAGTTGTGCATATCTTGCACATATTCCCTCCCCCTTTTTTTGGCTTTTAAATGGATTTATACATTCTAACCAGTTATTGTTCACTTACATGAAGGCCTTTGACTTCTGTATACCTTCTCTGTCTTATTGAGTTCCATTTTTTTTTTTTAAAGGTTTTATTTATTTGACAGACAGAGATTACAAGTAGGCAGAGAAGCAGGCAGAGAGAGAGGAGGAAGCAGGCTCTCTGCTGAGCAGAGAGCCCGATGTGGGGCTTGATCCCAGGACTCTGAGATCATGACCTGGGCCGAAGGCAGAGGCTTTAACCCACTGAGCCACCCAGGCGCCCCGAGTTCCATATTTTTATAGTAGTTATTCAAGTCATTTTCTTGGCATTTCTAGGTTATAATCATTTCATCTACAGATAATGATAGGTTTACCTCTTCCTTTGGATTTTTATACTTCTAATTTTTTTTTTAAGATTTTATTTATTTATTTGACAGAGAGAGATCACAAGCAGGCAGAGAGGCAGGCAGAGAGAGAGGAGGAAGCAGGCTCCCTGCTGAGCAGAGAGCCCTATGCCGGACTCGATCCCAGGACCCTGAGATCATGACCTGAGCCGAAGGCAGCGGCTTAACCCACTGAGCCACCCAGGCACCCCTTCTAATTTTTTTCTTATCAGATTATATTGACTAATTAGACAGTGTTAAGTACAGTGATTAGTGGGCATCTTCTTTTTATTCCTTACCGTAGAAAGGAATGCTTCCATTGTTTCTACATTAAGTATGATATATACATATATATGTATATGTATAAGAGCATCTGTTGATTTCTATTTTATTAAGTACTTTTAATCAAGAATGGATGTTGAATTTTGTCAGATTTTCTTCTTAGGATCACCGGAGCTAATGATATGATATTTCTTGTCTTTTTAATGAAACACCGAACCAAACTTGTGTTTCTGGATTCTTTTAATGTGATGCTGTATTCTGTTTGCTAATATTTTACTTTTTTAATCAAAATGCAAAAGTAAGTTTGATCTGATCTGTAATCTTTTTTCTGTAATCTTTTTCAACTTTTGGTATTAATCTTCTGTCTCATAAAAAATTTAGAAGTTTTCATTTTCTAAAATGTACAAGTTTTTAAATAGTATTAAAATTGTCAGCTCTTGAAATAAAGTTAGAGACAGTTTATGATAACTTGCTGATATGAGGAATTTGAGAAATAGGACAGAGGATCATAGGGGAAGGGATGGAAAAATGAAACAAGACAAAACCAGAGAGGGAGACAAACCATAAGAGACTTTTAATCTCAGGAAACAAACTGAGGGTTGCTGGAGTGAAGGGGGGATGGAGGGAATGGGGTGTCTGGGTGATAGACATTGGGGAGGGTATGTGCTATGGTGAGTGCTGTGAATTGTGTAAGACTGATGAATCACAGACCTGTACCCCTGAAACAGATAATACATTATATGTCAATTTGAAAAATAATACATCATATGTTAATTAAAAAAGAAAGAAAAAAATTGTCAGCTCTTTCAGGATTTGGTAGAATTCTCCTATAAAATCTTGTTGCGTGGTCTGTTTTGCTTGATGTGTAGTAGCTGTTGGAAAACTTCCATTTATTTTGTGAAAATCAGTTTGTTTAGGTTCAGTTTGGGGTTCAGTTTTGGTGGGTTATATCTTACTAGAAAATTATTTTATCTGTATTTGATTTTTATAGAGTTTTATATAGTTTCTTATTTTTTGAAATTGTTTCTACTTCTCTGGTTTCCCCCCCATTTCTTATTTTGTGTATTTGTGTTTTGTCCATTTTATTTGTGTTTTGTCCATAGTAGTTTAAATAACTGGTTTCAACACCTGCTGCCACAGGCCACCTGGCAAAAGAGCTTTTGAAACTTTTTTTTTTTTAAGTTCTCTGGCTTTCTGTTTTCTAAATTCTTAATTTCTGCTTTTAGCTTTATAAATGTTTCCTCTTCTTTTTTCCTCCTTTGTTACATTAGTTGTTTTTCTAACTTTTTGAGCTGTGTTAGTCACTTTCTCATTTTCATTTTTTCTTAATGATGACATTATTTAAAACAATGAATTTTCTTCAGATCACTATTATAGCTACATCCCAAAGCCTCTAATGTGTAGAAGGTTTTTTTGTTTTGTTTTGTTTTTAAGATTTTATTTATTTATTTGACATACAGAGATCACAGGTAGGCAGAGAGACAGGCAGAGAGAGAGGAGGAAGCAAGCTCCCTGCTGAGTGGAGAGCCCGATGTGGGGCTTGATCCTAGGACCCTGGGATCATGACCTGAGCCAAAGGCAGAGGCTTTAACCCACTGAGCCACCCAGGCGCCCCTAATGTGTAGAAGTTTTATTATTGTCTAGAAACACCACAAATTTAATTTGTATTTTCCCTCTTATCCAAATGTTGATTGAGAGACTTTTTATATTCTCAGATTGAAGAACTTTTTATTTTCTGATTTTGTTATAAGTTTCTAGTTTTGTGGGTTGTTAATCAGAGAATGTGGCTTATATTTCTCCTTTTAGAATTTGTTGAGGTTTATTTTGTAGTCTAGAGGCTCCTGGGTGGCTCATTGGGTTAAGTGTCCAACTCTTGATTTCGGCTCAGGACATGATCTCGGGGTCATGAGATTGAGCCCTGCATCAGACTCCCTACTCAGGACAGAGTCTGTTTGAGATTCTTTTCCCTCTGCCTCTGCCCCTTTGCTTTTCCCCATGCTCACAGGTGTGTGAGCCCTCTCTCTTTGT